AGATGTGCCCGGCTCCCCCCCCGCCCCGAGCGGGGAAACGAAAAGGCTTCAACGCTGGGGGTGTTCTTGGCCTCTTTATTTAGGATAAAAACCCGGGTCGGCCACGAAAGACGAGCTAAAACGGTAGTTACAAAAAAGGTGGTGGGACAGAGAGTTACAGAACATGGGTGTCCTGGTTTTGGCTGCGAGAGAGTTAATTTTCCTCCCAGGAGCTGCTGCGTTTTGGATTTAGTATGAGAAGAATGTTGATAACACCGATGTTGTTAGTTCTTGCTAGGAAATCAAGGACTTTTTCCAGTTTCTCATACTCAGCTAATGAGCAGGTGTGCAGGAGCCGGGAGGGAGCGCAGCCGGGCAGCCAGCCCAAGCTGGCCAGCAGAAATATGCCATACCATGGATGCTGCGGTCAGTATATAAACGGGAGGTGGGCTGGGGGGCAGGAATATAATCTCTTTTTTCCCAGGAGTTTGAACTTTTCTGTGAGTTTGGTCTTTTTTGGGGAGTTCTGCAAAATCCACAAAATCTGCTACTTCCATGACCGTTGCTCAGGGACTGGCTACACAACTGGTAGTCAGGCAGTGAGAAAAATTGTATTGTGTGTCACTTGTTTTGCATATTTATTATTAGTAGTAGTCATATTATTAGTATTTACTTTGTTGTCTTCTTATTATCTTGTCTTTATCTCGACCCATGAGTTTTACTTTTTTTTTATTCTCCTCCACACCCCATTGGGGAGGAGCGCATGAGCAGCTGTATGGTCCCAGTTGCTGGCTGCTGGATTAAACCACAACAACTGGGAACGAAGAGACCGTGTCCAGCACGGCAAGCGGGGTTCCCCTGAGCTGCACCACCAAACCTGCAGTCCTGGCTGGCTGGCAGAGAGCACCTGGCAAACGGAGGGACGTGGCAACATGAACCAAGAGCCTCATGGCTGCGGGGCTTGGTGTGACGCTGCACCATGCCTGGAGCCATCAGGCAGCCCCGGACGGTGGTTCTGACTCCGCTGGCACATGACCCTGGCTCAGCGTGGGGGCCAGCCCGCGCCTGTGCCACCAGCCGGGCCCTCACCAGCAGCACGGCTACGGCCACGTCCAGCTTGGCACAGCCCAGCGCCTTCATCCCCCAGCACGCAGCAGCCTCTGCAGAGAGAGCAGGCAAAGGAGCTGTGAGCATGGCAGGGTCCCCCGTGGCAGAGCTGGCCCAGGGGATGAGGACACCAGCTTGCCTGTCCCAGGGGCTTTGTGCTGCACTGTACCTTGGCTCCAGCAGTGTTGGCAGTACCGCAGGTCACGCAGGACGCCTGGGCCCGTGGCTGCCAGCCAGCGCAGAGCTGCGGCATGGAGTGAGCTGTCGGCGGGCACCTTCTCCAGGAGCTGCAGCAGGACAGGGAGCAGCTGCTGTGCCAGAACGGCTGGCTCCGCAAAACTGTTGGGTTCGTCCTCCCTGTACAGGCTGGCAGCTCTGGGGAAAGAAAGCCGAGGTGCAGGTGAAGCTGAGGGCTGGCGTCATGGCCCCCCATGCTCCCTCATAGCCAGCCCCGGGGTCTGGCAACTCACTTCTTAGCCTCCAGCTCCTCCACAATGCCCCTGAGATCTAGGATGGGGAGATGCTGCACCAGCAAGTTGAAGGTTTCAGGGTGCTCCCCAAACTCTGCCAGGAGGAGCTGCAGGAGGCCCGTAAGGCCCACGTTGTCCTGAACAAAGATGCAGCTGCCTCGGAGTGGCTTGCTGGGGTCCTGCTGCAGGAGGCTGGCAAAACCTAAGGCCTCATGCCGGACCTCCCGCTCCTCGTCTTGCAGAAGATGAATGCCAATGTTTATCAGCCTGAAGAAAGGGAGAAGAGAAGGGGAGTGGAGTGGCGGGGAGGGAGAGGAGGGAAGGCCACTGTACTGCCCAGAGCATCCCCAGCCTGCCTGGAGGGGGAGGAAAGGATGAGACCCTGAGGGCAATGATTCCCCAAGCAACTTTTCTCCTGGATTGTGAAAGGCACCACTCAAGAGCTCACTGCTTGGGAGGGCAGAGACTGCGATGGGGATCGAGGGACCCATCAATGTAGTTTATTGCTCATAAAGGACTGACTGCTTCTATTAAAACACCACCCACAAATTTTTTGTAAGCTTCAAGCTCTTGAGTGTTAGTGATTTTTGAATGAGTGGGGTTTTCTTTAATGCCCTTGAATCTTTCGCAGAGGACATTGCCTTTCGCAGAATCGGCCTCTTAACCTGCAACACCCTGGGGCTGTGGGCAGCACTACTCCTGCAAGGACCTACCGCAGAGCCACGGGGATGAGCGAGGGACAGGTAGTGTGCCGGCACCGCTGCACCACGTTGGCACCCGCCGTCTGCAGGGAGCAGGCGGCTGCCAGCCGCCGCCACAGACCGGCTGCACTCCTCCAGCGCCATGCACCATCGCTCGACCAGGGTGCTGTCCTTGTCCTCAAACCTGTCAGACGCCGGGGAAGGAGAGGGAATTCAGGCACATCTTCCAGCTCCATCCAGGGGTCCAAAGGCCAACAGCTGCCTTGAGACCACAGGACAAGGGCGCAAAGCTGGCTGTAATTTATAGGTGAGAAGTTGTGGTTTTGCCTCCAGCAAGGACTAAGGAGAAATCTCCTGGAAGTGTCAGGCAGGTCCCCCCGGCAGCGGCGGGGCCCACCCGG